GGAAAGAATATCCAATGGAAAAAAGCAGTCTCTTCAAAAATGCCATTGGGAAAACTGGACACCCACACACAGAAGAATGAAACTGGGCCACTTTCTTACACCATACACAAAGATAACCATCAAAATCCTAGAGGAGAGCACAGACAACAACCTCCTTGACCTAGGCTGCAGCTTCTCGCTAGCTATGTCTCCAAAAGCAAGGGAAACAAAAGCAAAAGTGAGCCATTGGGATTTCATCGAGATAAAAAGCTTTTGCCCAGCAAAGCAAACAGCCGACAAAACCAAAAGACAACCTACAGAATGGGAGAAGATACTTGCAGAGGTCTTATCAGATGAAGGGCTAGTATCCACAATCTATAAAGAGCTTCTCAAACTCAACCCCCCAAAAACAAGTAATCCAGTCAAGAAATGGGCAGAAGACATGAAGAGATACTTCTCCAAAGAAGACATACACATGGCCAACAGACATACGAAAAAATGCCCCATATCACTTGTTGTCAGAGAAATGCATATCAAAACCACAAGAGATACTACCTCACACCAGTCAGAATGGCTAAAATTGACAAGTCAGGAAATGACAGATGTGGGCAAGGTTGCAGAGAAAGGGGAACGCTCTTGCACTGTTGGTGGGAATGCAAGCTGGTGCAGCCACTCTGGAAAAGATATGGAGGTTCTTCGAATAGTTAAAAACAGGGATGCCTGTGTGGCTCAGTGGTTGAGCATCTGCCTTTGGCTCAGAGTGTGATCCCAGGGTCCTGGGATCGAGTCCCACATCGGGCTCCCTGCAGGGAGTCCTCTGCCTATATCTCTGCCTCTCTCATGAATGAATAAATAAAATCTTGAAAAAAAATAGTTAAAAATAGAGCTACCTTAGGACCCAGCAACTACACTACTAGGTATTTTCCTAAAGAATATACAAGCATTGTGATCAGAAGGGGCACCTGCACCCCAATGTTTATAGCGGCAATGTCGACAATAGCCAAACTGACTGCAGAATGAGCCTAGATGTCCGCCGATAGGTGAATGGATAAAGAAGACGTGGTGTGTGTCTATCTATCTATCTATCTATCTATCTATCTATCTATCTATCTATCTATCTATCTCTCTATCATCTATTTTCACACAATGGAATATTACTCAGCCATCAAAAAGAATGAAATCTTGCCATTTGCAGCAATGTGGATGGAACTAGACGGTATTATGCTAAGTAAAATAAGTCAGTCAAAGGAACAGAAATATATCATTTCACTTATATGTGGAATTTAAGAAACAAAACAGTAGAACACAGAGGAAGGGAAGGAAAAATAAGATGAAAACAGAGAGAGAGAGAGAGAGGCCATAAGAGACTGCTAATTTAGAGGAAACAAAGTGAAGGTTGCTGGAGGGGAGCTGGGGCAGATGAAGTAACCAGGTGATGAGAATTAAGGAGGGCACTGGATATAATGTGCACCGGTGTGTTATATGAAACTGATGAATCATTAAATTACCTCTGAAACTAATAATATACTATATGTTAATTAAATTGAATTTAAATAAAAAAAATTTAAAATGATTCTCTCTATATACTTTTCTTCCCCTCTCTCCCTCAAAAAAAGTGTCTGTTTTTGTTTGCCTCTGTGTTGTTTTGTTTCTTAAATTCCACATATGAATGAAATCATACGGCATTCATCTTTCTATGAGTTACTTATTTTGCTTACCATAATACTCTCTTGCTCCATCCATGTAGTTGCAAACAGCATTTTATTATTTTTATTCCTCAGTAATTTTAGAGTCTCTCTCTCTATATATATATTCATTGCTTAATGGACACTTGTACTGTTTCCATAGTGAATATTGTAGAAAATGCTTCCATAAATAGCAGTGTACATGTATGCCTTTGAATTATTATCTTTATATTCTTTCTTTTAAATCTTTATATTCTTAAGGTAAATACCTAGTGGTGTAATAACTGGTTCAAGGGTAATTCTATCATTAACTTTTTTTTTCTATCATTAACTTTTTAAGGAATCTTTATACTTTTCACCAGACTGGCTGTACCAGTTTTCTTTCCTTCCAGCAATGCAAGAGGATCTCCTTTCTCCACATCCTCACCAACACCTGTTGTTTCTTGTGTTGTTAATTTTAATTGTTTTGAGAGATGTGATGTGATATCTCACTGCAATTTTGATTTGGAGTTCCCTGCTGATGAATGATATTGAGCATCTTTTTATGTGTCTATTGGCCATCTGGATGTCTTCTTTGGAAACATGTCTATTCATGTCTTCTGCCCATGTTTTAATTGGGCTATTCTTTCTCAGGGCATTGGGTTTATAAATTATTCATATATTTTGGATACAAACCTTTTATCATATGCGTTATTTGCTAATGTATTCTCCCATTCAGTAGGCTGCCTTGTAGTTTTCTAAGAGACTGGGAAAAGAGTAGCAGATATGAAGTTTTCCTATTGATTATTATTATTAATCTGACTACATAATTTGTGGAGCCCAGTGCAAAATTTAAAGATAATTATAGCAGAGCATTACAGCAAACAGGTGCCCTTTTAGGCAGAGGGCCTTGGGTAGCTGCAGAGGTTACATGCCCATGAATCCAGCCCTATTAATGTAACATCAAGTCTACTTACTATAGCTTTAAAATCTTTATTCTTATTCCTAATCCACTACTCCCAAAAATTTTTTATTTCCATTTAGAAATGACCGACCATATAATTGGTGCAAATAAATACTAATATACATTGAATTTTTTTACATAAATGTTTATAGAAGTTTTATTCATAATCACCAAAAAAAAAAAAAAAGGAAACAACCAAAGGATATTTTGCTGGGTGAATGTAAAACAAATTGGTATATCCATATAGTGGAACACCACCAAAAAGGAACAACATGAATGAATATCAAAGAAAGACATTATACCCAAATAATCTCCAGCTTCCAGAGGTCACATCATGTATGATTACATTTATGTGATGCCTTAGAAATAAGTACACAGGGAAGAACATATCCTGTTTGCTAGAGGCTTGGGTGGGCCAAGGACTTGACTATAAAGGGGAAGCATGAGAGAATATTTCAGGGTATGAAGTGCTCTGCATTCTGATTATGGAGATGGTTATATAAAACCATACATGCATCAAAACCCTTAGAACTATTAATTTTATAGCATGCCAATTTCAGAGTATGTGAATTTAGGATTTTTTAAGTGAAAAATATATACAAATAAATTACCCTTAAAAAATAAATTACTCTTAAAAAGTACTTTATTTTTTAAAGATTTATTTATTTATTTTAGAGATGGGGGAGGGATGGAGAGAGAGGGAGAGAATTTAGGCAGATCCCTCACTGAGTGCAGAGCCCAATGTAGGGTTCAGTCTCACAACCCTGGTATCACAACCTGAGCTGAAACCAAAAATTGGGCATTTAACCAACTGCGCCACCCAGGCATCCTTAAAAAGTACCTCAAAAGATATTCCATCTGGGTTTCTGCCAGAAAGGGCTCTGCAATACCGTCCGATATACCGATACTCTGTGAGCGTTCCATCTGTAAAATGAGAAGATCAGTCCACAGCAATGATTTTTTCATTCATTTTCTCCCCAGTTGTATCCCTAGGCATTCCCTTTGTAGAAGTGGGGCAGATGTATGTTTGAAGGGAATGAATATTCAGCCTTCACTGGGCTCCAGACCTGCAGCACTGCATCAGTTGGAGTAGTTGTGCTTTTCTTTGTCTCATATATAGTTTGTCTGCAGACCCCTTGATTAGAGTAGCTAATCCTAAGCCACATCTCTAGGCACCCGGGAGTGTGAGCAATCCCAGATTCCAGAGCCTAGTTAATGGAGCCAACTGGTTTGTGTCTTAGGCAAATGCCCCCATGGATCTTAGAGGTTAGCCAGACTGGTGCAGTAGTTATAATGGCCAGTAATTCTAAATAAGTCATTTGAGGGAGGTGGAATCATGCTTCTTGCTCACAACCTTTGGATACACATGGATTAAATACAATGGGAACTCTGAAAAGGCTGCTGAGTCTAGGCTTCCCCTACCACAGGGTCTGAAATAACCTTAAAAATTTTTACCTCCCATAGGATGATTTTCTAGAAGAGTAAACAATAAAGGACCATGCACAGATGTGAAAACATTGTTATAAGGATGAGTATGCTGACCACAGACCAGAAGAGCCTCAGAGCATCATCAATTACAAGTCATCCTTTAAGCAAGTGCTATTGCCAGACATGCTGCCAATGATTGCTAATCCTCACAACAACCCTGTAAGAGAAGGGCTGTCATTGCTTTGATTAGTAAGGAAAGAGGTTACACAAAGAGATGACGAAAGTGACAGAGCTGGGTCCAGAGCTCCAACCTTCTGAACCAAGCTCTGTACAAGGAAACCTTGAGGCCTGATCAAGCCTGCTCTCTCAGCATATGCCCCAGAGAAAGGGACTAACATCTTTTATCAAAGGCTGGTAGAAGGTCATCAAAGTCACCCTGAGTTCTTGCCATCTGGAACGTCACTCAAAATTGTTTTTAAAATTTCATATAAGGAAATACTTTCTTCAAAAACTGTCTTTTGCTTAAGTCCAATCTATAAACCCAGAGTTAAGTAACTATGGTTGAAGTTGAGGACAAGGGGAACCTGAGGCTCAGAGGGCTCCTGGAGTATTTGAAAGCCACTTACGAAGTATATTAGCACTTACTGTGAGAGACACAGGTGCCATGACACCTAAGGCTCTGGCTTTAGGTTCCAAAGAATAAAGTGGGATTCTGGCTGGCTTGCTCCTGTGTAGTCTGCCCCAGGGGGAGGGCTGTGGAATTCCAGTCCTGCCACATGCATTGGGCTTTGAGTGAACAACACTTCCTCTGTGGCTAGGCCCCAGCAGTCATGCCCTGGGACTCACTGGTAGGAAATATTTTCACCATCTTAGCTTTAGTGAGTTTTATTCTTCAAAGAAATAGATTATAAGGTTAATAACTGCAGTCCCCCTCCCTTTTCTCTTGCCCTTATAAAAGCTATCATCTAATTTTCTGTATCAACAAAAGTAGAATGTTCAAGTTCAGATCTTGGTGTAGGACCAACGGCAGATTTGCACCTCTGACCCCTGGGGCAGGCGCTAGCCAGGATGGCTCGCCGTTTGGCTGCCATCAAACCGACTTCCTTCTTATAGGCTCCAGGGATCACGCCCATAGACGAGCTGACCATGTGCGCAGTGTTCTTGCCAAACAGCTGGAACTGTTTGTGGCTGTTAGTAGCTCAGCTGTTACCGAAAGCCGTTGTTGGGCAGGAAAAGCTGGACAGCAGCACCACCTGGTTCAGGCGCGGGATTCGGCAGGACTGTGGCTTTTAGGCCTCCAGAGGTGCCAGGTGGAGGGCGGCGGAGGAACAAAGCAGAGACGGGGACCCTGCTTCACCTCCACACGGTGGGAACACTCAGCAATGGGGCCCTCAAAGTAGCAGGGGCACGAGATGAGTGCATCGGTCACAGGCACCTGCACGTACCGGATGTCCTCGTATAAGGTGTTTTCCACCTCCATCGAGACGTTGAAGACCGTGGTGATCTGGCTGCTGGACAGCTTGAGCTTGTTGCTGATGGCCACACCATTGCTGATGTACAGGCTGCTGGTGATCTGTGAGAGCCGTTGGCCCAAGCTGCCAGAACCGAGCTGGGAGGGCACACAGGCTGCGGTCACCGAGGCGGAGGGGCAGCGGCCAGCGAGGAGCGAGGGCTGCATCTTTCTGTAGGACAGAGTCCTCCAAAAACTCTCAGCGGTCAGCGAGTGGGCTCATTCAGTCGTGCCGTGAAGTCTCAGGAAAGGGTCCGGGGGAAAGAAGACAGGTCACGACCTTGCAGCCACAGTCCTACTGGCAGTGCTCTGGTTTCCATGGTAGACACAGATAGGCTGTGCCTGGTCTAGGTGGAAACCCTGGCCTCTGCTCCCTGGCCAGCACCGCCCACTCCAGCTCACCCAGTTACCCGCCCACCAGCGGGACCGAGGCCCCACTGGAGCCCTGATGGAAGTCGGCGCTGAATTTTGTTGGACATTTTAAATAGAATTAGGTCATTCCTCTTTTTTAAGGAGTTGAAATGCAGTTTGCTATTTCCTCTAAACACAGAGGAAAATTCTTGTAGTCTATGATATTAGACATTAAATGTGAAACAAAAACTGTTGAAAAGTAGGAGTGTTTTCACTTTGTAATGGATCTTAAAGAAAAAACTCTCTCTGGAACTTTAAGATGGGATTTCAGTAAGGTCCACCTAAATAGCTCTATGAGAGTTGGACCCCAAAACCCAAATGAAGGACTCCCAAAAAGTGATGCAGAAGTCAGAGAAAATGTCCTCAGCTACGGAGAATGTTTTACTTATTTTTAAGAGATACCTGTGTCTCCATAAAACAAATACCTACATTAGCTCATTGCACTCAAGTGCTTAGAGAATTCACCACTGGTTGCTGATGCTACTGATGTTCTTTAGGATTCATGATTTACCAGACTTGTGGCCTAGGGACTTCTGAGGGAACATGACCCTGCCAACACCTTGATTTTGGACTTCTAGCCTCCAGAACTGTGAGAGAATAAATTTTTGTTGTTTTAAGACATCCAGTTTGTGTGTGATGCTTTGTTATGGCAGCCCTAAGAAACTCATACACTTTCTGGTCTTTCACTCATGAAAGCATACCTCAATACAAGCAAATGAGAGGGACAGTAGTACAGGAAAAACTTTGAATTCACTCTTTGAAATCAATATTATTTCCCAAACCTCACTTAGTAAGTGTAATCCATAACTAATTACTATTACACACTTTGCAACCAATTACAATACACCTGAGCAATTCACTATCTGAGCTAGAAACTATTAACCCAACATATTCATTTTACTAAGGAAATGGCACTCCTAAGAGGCCAAATGGCTAACCAAAGCTGGCATTGCAATTTAACTGTGTTCCTTACCATACCTACTGTGTTCTAGCCAAGTTCCTTGAGTATGGGTAGAAAAAGACAACCTAAGGAATGAAGAAGACATCTCAACATTTCTTGCATTAGTCCCAAAATTTCACTGTTTCTAACTCCAGTTTAAATCATTTTGTACAGGATGGGTAAATACTCACTTCCATAAGCAATTGTGCTCTCAACTGTGACTCTGAAGGCTGATAAAGTGATTCAGGTTACTGTAGAAACTAAATAAGTACTCAATGTGCTGGGGATTAGGCTCTGATACAATATCCTGTGTCAAGGCACAGATCTTGGGCAAGAGAGGAAAAGCATCACCACTTTGATATTGCTACTGAAAGACTCAATTATTACTAAACTCCCCTTGAATAGAAAGACCAATGCTGAATTTATCAATAAGTGTGCTATATAATTTTGAAGTGAATGATTTCTTTACACTTGAAATAATAATCTAATAGGGGCCTCAAAAGGTAGCCAAGAAAAGATGTCAAAAATCAAAAAGAGGATTTATATGTGTAATTAATATTTTTAGCCTCAAAAGATGTCCTTTCTGTTAGGGTGCCTGTCCAACAAGATGACTTTGCTGACCTAGATTTCTCACTGTAATAATCCTATTTGCTTCCTGCTAATATATAAGTGCTAGTTTAGTGCTCATTCATGTTTCATAAAATAATACATCTCCTACTTTTAGGACATAACAATTGTAAAAAAACGAACTGCTTTGCCAGTAAAAGGTTCCCATCTACTATTTTCTTAGAAGAAATTGAAGAATCGCATAGGTAAACTAAACTTTCAAGTAACACCTCCAAGAGGAGTCCAAAACTCATCAAATAATCTAATACTGGATTTTGGGTCTAAATACCTGAGCTAAAGTGTGATAACAACCTTGAGACACTCTATAAGGAAAGAGTCAGGGGGCAATGCTGAAAGATGTCAGGGGTCCAGAAAAGGCAACAGATCACCTTCTAGCCAAATGGGTTGCAATGATATTTTTATGAGAGAAAAAGTGAGGGCTAGGAACTAAGTAGAAAGAAAGTCAGAAATAAAACTGAGAAAACAAGTAGGTCATAAGCAACTTAATAAACTGGAATGTCCTAAAATGACTGTTAAAATAGACTAAAGATATGATGAAGTGTTTTTAATGCACACAGCTGGCTTTATTTTGTATTAAATAAAAAGAGTTATTTGGTCTATAAAAAAGTTAGTCTTGTTCAAAACCACTTATGTCCTTAGCTGGCCACATTATGAGTTACTCTAGTCTGTAAATCTACCCACCCATCCTCAACCTTGAAACAGTTTAAAACACATGTTATCCATCATATAATTTCTGTGATTGGATCAATAGGAGACAAAAGAACTAAGACCTGGTAATCAACTGTCTAGCTAAGCCGCCAATAAAAAGATTTCCTCAAGAATTTATATTAAGAGATATCCCAACTGTACTCAGTGGGTAGAGAACATAATTCTTTTTTTTTGTATATTTTTTTTATTGGAGTTCGATTTGCCAACATATAGTATAACACCCAGTGCTCATCCCGTCAAGTGGCCCCCTCAGTGCAACTAAAGAGCCATGTAGCTTTGAGCTCATTGTTTTGGTACAGATGGATGTGTAAATAGGACATTAATCTGCATAAAAAGAGAAAGGATCAAAATAAAGAAAGGGGCAGACACTTGAGAGCCTCTGATTCAAGAGATAGTGAAGGGAGAGGGGGGAAGAATAACTGTCTTGGTAACTGATGACACAACATTCCTCCATTCTATCACCATATGTCTTTGATAGGAGCATTTAGTCAATTTAGATAAAAAGTATTTTTAAATTTTACTTAAATTCAATTTAATTAACGTATAGTATGTTATTATTTTCAGAGGTAATTTAGTGATTCATCAGTTTCATATAACACACCGGTGCACATTATATCCAGTGCCCTCCTTAATTCTCATCACCCGGTTACCTCATCCCCCCCAGCTCCTCTCCAGCAACCTTCACTTTGTTTCCTCTAAATTAGCAGTCTTTTATGGCTTGTCTCTCTCTCTCTCTCTCTCTCTCTCTCTCTCTCTCTCTCTCTGTTTTCATCTTATTTTTCCTTCCCTTCCCCTGTGTTCATCTGTTTTGTTTCTTAAATTCCACATATGAGTGAAATCGTATATTTCTATTCCTTTGACTTACTTTGCTTAGCATAATACCCTTCTAGTTCCATTCACATTGCTGCAAATGGCAAGATTTCATTCTTTTTGATGGCTTTTTGGCTTTTTTCATTCTTTCTGATTCCATTGTGTGAATGTAATAGACATCCCCACTCATTGTGTGGGGATAGATAGATAGATAGATAGATAGATAGATAGATAGATAGACAGACACACACCACGTCTTCTTTATCCATTCACCTATCGGCGGACATCTAGGCTCATTCTGCAGTCAGTTTGGCTATTGTCGACATTGCCGCTATAAACATTGGGGTGCAGGTGCCCCTTCTGATCACAATGCTTGTATATTCTTTAGGAAAATACCTAGTAGTGTAGTTGCTGGGTCCTAAGGTAGCTCTATTTTTAACTATTTTTTTTTCAAGATTTTATTTATTCATTCATGAGAGAGGCAGAGATATAGGCAGAGGACTCCCTGCAGGGAGCCCGATGTGGGACTCGATCCCAGGACCCTGGGATCACACTCTGAGCCAAAGGCAGATGCTCAACCACTGAGCCACACAGGCATCCCTGTTTTTAACTATTCGAAGAACCTCCATATCTTTTCCAGAGTGGCTGCACCAGCTTGCATTCCCACCAACAGTGCAAGAGCGTTCCCCTTTCTCTGCAACCTTGCCCACATCTGTCATTTCCTGACTTGTCAATTTTAGCCATTCTGACTGGTGTGAGGTAGTATCTCTTGTGGTTTTGATATGCATTTCTCTGACAACAAGTGATATGGGGCATTTTTTCGTATGTCTGTTGGCCATGTGTATGTCTTCTTTGGAGAAGTATCTCTTCATGTCTTCTGCCCATTTCTTGACTGGATTACTTGTTTTTGGGGGGTTGAGTTTGAGAAGCTCTTTATAGATTGTGGATACTAGCCCTTCATCTGATAAGACCTCTGCAAGTATCTTCTCCCATTCTGTAGGTTGTCTTTTGGTTTTGTCGGCTGTTTGCTTTGCTGGGCAAAAGCTTTTTATCTCGATGAAATCCCAATGGCTCACTTTTGCTTTTGTTTCCCTTGCTTTTGGAGACATAGCTAGCGAGAAGCTGCAGCCTAGGTCAAGGAGGTTGTTGTCTGTGCTCTCCTCTAGGATTTTGATGGTTATCTTTGTGTATGGTGTAAGAAAGTGGCCCAGTTTCATTCTTCTGTGTGTGGGTGTCCAGTTTTCCCAATGGCATTTTTGAAGAGACTGCTTTTTTCCATTGGATATTCTTTCCCACTTAGTCAAAGATTAGTTGATCATAGAGTGGAGAGTCCATTTCTGGGTTCTCTGTTCTGTTCCGTTGGTCCATGTGTCTGTTTTTGTGCCAGTACCATACAGTCTCGACGATCACAGCTTTGTAATGCAGCTTGAAGTAGTCATTATGATACCTTTGATTTGGTTTTCTTTTTCAACATTCCTCTAGTGATTCAGGGTCTTTTCTGGTTCCATACAAATCTTAGGGTTATTTGTTCCAACTCTGTGAAGAAAGTCCAGGGTATTTTGATCGGGATTGCACTGAATGTGCAAATTACTCTGGGTAGCATAGACATTTTCACAATATCTCTTCCTCCAATCCATGAGCATGGAAGTGTTCCCATCTCTTTGTGCCTTCC